CCCGAATCTGTTGCCATTGACAATTCTGACTCGTGGTGACCCCATGTGGCCAGGGATGCTGCTAAAACATCCTACAACACACAGGACAACCCCCACCACAAAGAACATTCCAGTTCAAAAGATGACTAGTGCAGAGGCTGAGAAACCCTGGGGTAGTACAAGGTACCTGGGATTTAGAAACAAATCAACCAGACCTGAGTAGTGGAGCTGGTGAGTTTGACAGCACAGACATCACCCCCTGTGACCCTAGCCAAGACATTGGTCCTCTGTGAGCTACAATTTCTTCATCTAGACAATGGGGACGGTACCACCCACCCTTGATGATAACAGTGGGGGTTGTTATTATTGTTTGTTGCCTTGAGTCCATTCTAACTCATGGCAACCCCATTCTAACTCATGGCAACCCCATGTGTGCTGAGTAGAACTGCTCCATAGGGTTTTCAAGGCTGTGACCTTTCAGAAGCAGATCACCAGGCCCGTCTTCTGAGGCGCCTCTCAGTGGGTTCAAACTGAAAACCTTCTGGCTAGTAGCTGAGCACTTAACAGTTTATGCTACTCAGGGACCTAATAGCAGGGATGGGGAGGAGTGGGATGGGGGGGGTGGTTTAGGGGTGGATTTAATAGAAGCTGAGCAGTTATCATCTTGGAGACACACTGCATACATAATCTCAATAGCAATCATGCAAACTAAGTTTATCATCCTCATTGATTATCACAGGAAAGGAGGCCCAGGGAAGTTAGTAGGATCAGCTTCTTCTGTTCAAGAAGGAAGGAATCCAAAAGGGAGGAAGGGCAATCCCAGGCAGATAAGCCTCCTTTGACCATTCTAGTTGATTCCAACCCCATGTGTCACAGAGTAGAACTGCACCATAAGGTTTTCTTGGCTGTAATCTTAACATCCACAGGGAACTGCTAGAAATTCAAGCTGAATTCAGAAGAGAATGTGAAATGAGGGATATCTTTGCTGATGTCAGATGGATCTTGGTATGCATCAGAGTTGTATCTTGTCTCCAAACTTATTCAGTCTGTATGCTGAGCAAATAATCCGAGAAGCTGGACTATATGAAGAATACAGATACAGTATCAGGACTGGAGGAAGACTCATTATAACCTGCATTATGCAGATGACACAACCTTGCTTGCTGAAAGTGAAGAGGACTTTAAGCACTTAACTGATGAAGATCAAAGACTACAGCCTTCAGTGTGGATTATACCTCAATATAAAGAAAACAAAAAACCTCACAACTGGACCAATAAGAAACATCATGATAAATGGAGAAAAGATCGAAGTTGTCAAGGATGTCATTTTACTTGGATCCACAATCCACACCCATGGAAGCAGCAGTCAAGAAATCAAACGATGTATTGCATTGGGCAAGTCTGCTGCAAAAGACCTCTTTAAAGTGTTAAAAAGCAAAGATGTCACCTTTGAGGACTAAGGTGTGCCTCACTCAAGCCATGGTCTTTTCAATCGCCTCATATGCATTTGAAAGCTGGACAATGAATAAGGAAGACCTAAGAAAAATTGATGCATTTGAATTATGGTGTTGGCAAAGAATACTGAATATACCATAGACTTCCAGAAAAAGGAACAAGTCTGTCTTGGAAGAAGTACAGCCAGAATGCTCCTTAGAAGCAAGGATAGCAAGACTTCGTCTCACGTACTCAGTATCAGAAGGGACCAGTCACTGGAGAAGGACATCATGCTTTGTAGAGTAGAGGGTCAGCAAAAAAGAAGAAGACCCTCAACGAGATGGACTGACACAGTGGCTGCTATAATGGGCTCAAACACAGCAATGATTATAAAGATGGTGCAGGACCTGGCAGTGTCTCCTTTTATTGTACATAGGGTCCTACAAGTTGGAACTGACCCGACAGTATCTAACAACAATAACAATCTTAACGGAAGCAGATCACCAGGCTTTTCTTTCCCGACGCCTCTGGGTGGGTTCCAACCATCAACCTTCAGGTTAGTAGTTGAGCGCAAACCATTCGTGCCACCGATGTTCCTTTTTAGCAGATAAGAGTAGCACCATAGTCCTGGACTGTTTGGGGCTGGAATAAGGTGAAGAACAGGAGATGTCTGGTAATATTTAAAACTGTCTTAGACTGTGAACCATATCCCTGAAAATAACTTTGTTAAAACTAAAGGGACACAGCAAATTTTAAAGTTTTTTCTTTTAATCAGTTTAGACAGCTCTTCTCAGTCTCATGAATTTGGGTTTAATGGCAGAGAGGCAGCAGGTCCTGCGTTGCTGCTAACCAGACATGTGGCCTTTTGTGTGTAAAACAGAAGACATAGGACCTGTCCCAGTGGCTGCCTACGGGTGATCAAGGGACAAAGCCTGAATGACGCACGTGGGGAGGCTCTGAGGGGGCCTTGGGGACACCTTGCTCAATGATTAGGCACCCAGACTTTAGGGTCAGACTGTTGTTTTCTGCCGTTGAGTTGGCCCCAACTTACAGCGACCCTGTGTACAATGGAATGAAATGCTGCTCGGTCCTGCACCATGCCCATGATTGGTTGTGGATCGGACCCTTGTGCTCCATAGGGTTTTCATCAGCTGACTTTTGAAAGTAGATTGCTAGGCCTTTCGCTAGCTGTGTGACCTTGGGCAAGTCTCTCAGTGTCTCTGTTTTGCCATGAGAGCTGCCGCGGGGGCAGCTCAAGGCTCGTGCTAAGTGCTATCAAAGTGTGAGCTTTCTAAGTGTGAGCTTTATTATTATCTCAGCTGAGCAGATGGGGGCTGGGCAAGGGACAGTGGTGAGCCAAGTTCTTGCTGCAGGTTCATGGTCACTCTGAGACCAGGAGCCAGCCCTTCTGACTCTTGGCCCAGAGTTACTTTGCTCAGTGTCAAGCACAGCATGCCAAGCTGGAACGTATTATTAGTGACTTAACATAAAGGTGAAGAACACTATGGGAGGTCAGAATTCCCCAAAGTTGAGACCTCGACACGGCTGGCTTTGTGAGTAGAAGAGGTGTTTTTCCACCAGCTATTTACGCTGCAGGGCTTACAAATGCACCTCACAGAATTTATAAAGTTATACGGGGTATGCAAATGGGAAAACTATGTCTCCGCGCAGGAGAAAGTTCTGTTTAGAAATGTCATGGTTCTCAACCTAAATGCCTCATTAAATAAAGATTCCCTATGCGATGTTTAAAGCTCCAAGTGTGAGTTTTAAGAAGCAGACACGTTCTCCCTGTGTTTTCTTAGAATGAGGAGGGCAGCTTCAAGACCGGCTAGCAAAAGCCTCTGTCTTGTTGAGAGGCAGTGTTAAAGGTCATCCCGTAAGTTAAAGTACAGCTATGGACCCAGGAGCCTCCTCGTTCTACTGACTAGACTGAGGAAGAAGGAAAAAGCAAGTAAGCAGCAAGATGACCTCACTTCATCCCAGCGTTTCTGAAATTATAATCAAGAAATGTGCAAATGAGGCGGTTGTAACTTTCGATGCCATCTTTCTCTCTCCAGAAAGGAACTTCTCCATTTCACTTCCCCTCCCCTCCAAAAACCCACTGCTGTCGAGTCCAGTCTGACTCGCCTCTCCCTGGACACCCCTAAACATCCTCCCTGCCAAGGCAGGCTCATGCTCACACATATAAAAATGGAGCTGTTTAATCTGAGGCTGATCACAAGGTGCCTGGCAGCCTCCCCTTCCTCCTTCCCTCTGGGCTCAGCCACCTTCTGCTGAGCTACCTGAGAGACTTTAGAGGGAGTGTGGCTATTTCAGTGCAAGAATCTCCTCCACAGCAACCCTGCCAAGTGGCTGGCCAGTCTGTTTGCACACCTTCACGGATGGGGAACTCACTCCCTCTGGGCAATCTACTCCATTTTGCAGTAGCAGCAATAGCAATAATGCTTCAGAGTCTGCCCCCTTATTCTTCAACTTCATGGAGCCTGCCTTCTGGAGCCTTCAGGAGAGACGGGATGACTGCCTCCATCAGAAGACTTGGGGAACTTCAAGGAGAGACCTTGTCCTCAGACCCTCTTGCCCATGTCAGCTCAGGCCACAGGAAGCTTTTTATTTAAGACCTTGAGGTTTTCTCAGGCCACAGTCATGAACTAAATCCAGCCTGGCCAAGTGTACATTTACTTAAATCATCTTCATGTCTCTCTCTTTGTTGTTGTTAGCTGAGTTGGTCTCCAACTCATGAGGATCCCATACACAATGAATGAAACATTGTCTGCTCCTGTGTCATCCCCATGATCTGTTGTGGATCAGACTGTTGTGATCCACAGGGTTTTCACTGGCTGATTTTTGGAAGTAGATTGCCAGGCCTTTCTTCCTAGTCTGTCTTAGTCTGGAAGCTGTGCTGAAACTTGTTCAGCATCAGAGCAATATGCAAGCCTTCACTGCCGGACGGGCTGTGGCTGCACATGAAGTGAGCTGGCCGGGAATCGAACCCAGGTCTTCTTTCATGGAAGGTGAGAATTCTACCACTGGACCACCACTGCCACCACTGTCTCTTGCTTATGATTTCCCGATACCCATTTTACTGAGAAATATGACTTTTAAATATTTCTAGGGATTACTGTTGTGAGTTTTCAATGCCAAGTTGATTCAGACTTGTGGTGACCCCACGTGGGTAGAGTATGGTTTTCAAGGCTGTGACCTTCTGGAAGCAGATTGTCAGGCCTGTCTTCCAAGGTGCCTCTGGGTGGGTTTGAACCACCAACCTTTTGGCCAGTAGTCCAGTACTTAACCATTTTTGCCAAATGATTATAATGGCAAGCAGCATTTTGTAAAGGATAATTCTGTGCGAGCTGCTGCTATGAATGCTCTATGCGGATGACTTCTTTCAGTATTGTTACATCCCATTTTACAGAGGAGGACACTGAGGATCAGAAATGGTATGTGGTTGTCCAATGGCACAGAGCTTGTGGAGATGGTGGGCTGGGATTTAGAGTGGACACCCAGGGCTCAAACCTGAACCATCCACCCTACAGCCTCCCTGGGTCCCCCATTTGTGGGGGGCGCCCCAGCGGGATCCCAGCCCTCACCGCATTGAGGCCGCAAAGCTGGTAGCAGGCCATGGTGATGATCACAGTGAGGACTTGCCAGCGGACAAAGGGGCTCCTCAGCAGCTCCAGGACGGATACCAGACAGATGTTCCTCCGCTCCCGTGCCTCTTCCTTCACCTCCGCCACTTCTTGAGAAACATTCTCTTTGCCCAGGAACGTCCGGAAGGCTGCAAACAGGGACATGACGGACACTCAGCAGGAATTCAGATGTTTATCATGTCTAACGCTGGGCCTGCAGGGGCAGGTCCACCACATGGACAGTCACACCCCTTGTCAGGGATGTGAGCTGGCAGCGCCCTGGAAACCATGAAGTCCAAAGCCCTTGTTTTACAATCAGGAAAACAGAGGCCCAGAGAGAAGCAATGACTTTCCCAAGGTCTCCCAGTTGGCTAGGAGAGGGGCCAGGCGGGGACTAGCTTGCCTGACAGCCATTATGGAGAGCAGAACCTGCCCAGGATTTGGAGATACAGAGACCTGAGTTCAAGTCCAGTCTCTACCATTGGGCAGTGGTGCCTCGGGTTCATCTTCTGTAATCATTCCTACCTCACATGCTTGTTGTAATAATTGGATGAGATCATGCATTTAAACCCTGAGCTCGGCACACAGGAGGTAACTTTCGATATTTACTGAGTGCCTTGTGATGGTTAAATTTTATGTGTCAACTTGGCTAGGCTCTGGTTCCCAGTGGTTTCACCAACACTAGACTAGTTGCTGTTCCATAATGTAATGTATTATAATGTATTGTAATGTAATGTAATGTAATGTAATGTAAACATCTTATGTAATGTAACCTAATTAATCAGTTGAAAGGAAAATTTCCTAAGGGTGTGCCTTGTCTCCAGACTATAAATTGATACTTCGGCAGAACTTGCTCTCTCTAATCTGCACTCTTCCCATTGCCTGACCTACAGGTCTTGGGACACAAGTGTGCAGAAGTCTCCAGCCTGCCACCTGACCTATGGATTTTGGATTTGCGAGACCTCTTATGTGAGGCAATCCCCTGAAGTAAATCAATCACTGTCTATCTGTCTGTCTATCTATCTATCCAAAATATTGGAGTTGTCAAGGATTTCATTTCACTCAGATTAACAACCAACGCCCATAGAAGCAGCAGTAAAGAAATCAAATGACGTATTTCATCGGGCAAATCTCCTGAAAAATACCTCTTTAAAATCTTAAAAAGCAAAGATGTCAATTTGATGACTAAGGTGCACCTGACCCAAGCCATGGTATTTTCAACTGCCTCATATGCATGCAAAAGCTGAACGATGAATAAGGGAAGTCTGAAGAAGAATTGATGCCTTTGAATTATGGTGTTGGTGAAGAATATTGAATATACCATGGACTGCCAAAAGAACGAACAAATCTGTCTTGGAAGAAGTACAGCCAGAGTGCTCCTTAAAAGCAAGAATGTCGGACTTCTTCTCATATACTTTGGACATGTTATCAGGAGGGACCGGTTCCTGGAGAAGGACATCATGCTTGGTAAAGTAGAGGGTTAGTGAAAAAGAGGAAGACCCTCAACGAGATGGATTGACACACTGGCTGTAACAATGGGCTCAAATACAGCAATGATTGTGAGGATGGCACAGGACCAGGCAATGTTGTGTTCTATTATACATAGGGTTGCTATGAGTCAAAACCAACTTGACAATACCTAACAACAACAAATATATATATATATATATATATACCTATGTATGTAAGTACATTACTGGTTCTATTTGTTTAGAAAACCCTAAGACATGCCTCTGGTGTGCCTGGCCCTGCATGTGGTCACCCTCATTGCAAGGGTCCAGAGGACAGATCATAACTCAGCTAAGATACCCAGGAATCAATTCTGTCCTTGGAAGAAGGACTGAACTAATGGCCTTCAAGGTCCCTTCCATGTGGCCTCTGAAATATAGCAACCCTGGGTGGAAAACTTCTCATGTCAGTATTCCCAAGATTCAAATGCCACCCAGTGACTTAGGGCTTTACAGGGTGAGCTCTGCAAACTTCCAACCCTGGAGAACCTGTCATTTTTTACCAAACCCTTCACGGTGCACACCTCCACGGATGCATGCCCGGAGGTGGGCTGACTGATTAGACCCCTGAGATCATCATAATCAGATCACAGGAAATGCTTTTAGAGTGCATATTTAAATATTCAGTGCTCTCACATTCATCCTCCTACAGGAAAGGTGGCCATCGTGACGGCTCCTGTAGATAGTCCATCCCAGACCCAGCGGGCATCATCCTTGAAAGCACTGCTCTGCGCCACGGGGCATATGAAATTGTCCTTCTTAAGCAGCAAGAAAAGCTGTTAAGCTAGCTCCAGATTGTCCAGGAAGCAAGCACACAAAGGCGTTGGGCTGTTATTTCCAGCAGCGCACAGGAAACTGCTTCAGAAAGTCTCCTTTGTGAGCTGTGATTTAATGCTTCTCCCAGCATTTATTAAGGGTAAGTGGGAGAAGAACTTGAATGAATAAAACTTCTGCATCATGCTCTGTGTGTGCATGCTGTGTGTGCCCGTCAGGTGGATACTGACTCAGCGACCCTACAGGACAGAGTAGAACTGTCCCAAAGGGTTTCCAAGGCTGCAATCTTTACAGAAGCAGACAGCCATATCTTTATCCCACAGAGCAGTGGTAGGTTCAAACCACCAACCTTTTGGAGCCATCCTGGCACATCAGGAAAAGGAAGAAGCATTGACACATCCAACTCCTTTCTCTCTCTAGAACATTCTTCTGACCTCTCTGCACCTGGCTACTCCTCCTCATTCTTTGTGTCTTAGCTCAAACACCATCTCCTCCAGGAAGCCTTCCCTGATTCTCCCCAGCTGGAAGTCTGGGGAGGAGCAGGCAAGAAAAGGCTTTGAGTGCCCACAAGAAGATGAAGCTCCTGCCCACAAGGACACAGGGGCAGCCAGTATTTCTGAGAGCCCACAAGTGCTGGGTGTGGGGCTTGAAGCTAGGTATACAGCAGTAAACCTCCCCACATTGGCCTCATTATCTTATACCAAAAAGAAACAAAAAAAGAGCCTGTTGCTCCTCCTGACTTGGTGCATCTGCTCCCTGTGTCACTGTTGTTGTCAGGTGCTGTTGAGTTGGTTCCGACTCACAGTGACACTGTACAACAGAACGAAACACTGCCCGGTCCTGCACCATCCTCACAATTGTTGCTATGCTTGAGCCCATTGTTATAGCCACTGTGCCAATCCATCTCATTGAGGGTCTTCCTTTTTTGCTGACTCACTGTAGCAGGAGTTATATATAAGAGGATATGCTCCCCACATCCCCTTACACACACCGACAGCTTCCCACTTCCAGTGACTCTGCCCCTCTGCCCCGGGGCTTCCTGGCTGTAAGAGTGGGCTCAGCTCCCAGGAGTTAACACCCCGGGAACAGTCCTTAACTAAGGACAAAGCAGAAGTTAGTAGATGAATAGATGCGTACCGTGCTTCCTCGGCTTCATCGCCCAGAAGCCCCGGTGACTCTGAGCCCCAGTTGCCCACAGCTGAATCCCGCTCATGAACGATCCTCAGTTGCTTCCTTGGCTTCCCTGTCTTGTTTCCCCTCTCCACTCCTGGTGCTGCCTGGGCTCTCCTGCCAAGTGAACTACTCAAAACGATTCAGGCTCTGCTTTGGGGCCACCAAAGACTACCATGAAGTCACCTAAACTAGATGCCTTGCTGTCACACAGACACTGCCTTCTCCTACAATTGTGTCTGATAGTCACTGAGCCCCACTGATTCTTCTTAATCTGTAGCATCATGAGCTTTTCTCTGACCCATGGCATCAGCATGTTCCATGAGTCTCCTTATCTCCATCCTCCAAGATGGTCCAGTCATTCTCCTGCACACCAGCCTTTGCTGTCTTGTCCCTGCCCCATGATGCAGTCCAATTCTCATCTTCCACCAGAGCCCTGGTCCAACATCCCTGCTTCACCTCTCACCTCTCTCCTCCCCATCCACCCTGGGCTGCTGGAGCAGGTACTCCCCAAATATGCCCCTGTGCCTTGCACATGCTGTTCCTTTTGCCTGGAATGCCCACCACTTTGTTGCCTGCTTGGAACATTCTTTCCTCGCAATTCCACTCAGCAGACGTATCTTCTGGAAGCCTCTCTCTTCTGGGCCAGGCTTGTACCTTGCGTTCATCTCTATTTGGACACTTTTCACTCTTAGCTGCAATGATGTGCCCACCTGCTTTGCCAACCAGCCTGTGCACCACCCCCTCCCGATCAGGGCTACTTAAGGGACACTACAGTATAGCTATGGTGTTTTCAATCACCTTATATGCATCCAAAAGTTGGGTACTGAAAAAGGAAGACAGAAGAAGAATTGAAGCTTTCAGACTGTGGTGTTGGCAAAGAATACTGAATATACCATGGACTGCCAGAAGAATGAACAAACCTATCTTAGAAAAAATACAGCTAGAATGTTTCTTAGAAGTGAGGATGGCGAGACTTCACCTTGCTTTCTTTGGACACGTCATCAGGAAAGACCAATTGCTAGAAATGGACACCATGTCTGGTAAAGTAGAGGGTTGGCAAAAACACGGGAGACTTTCAGTGAGGTGGGCTGATACAATAGCTGCATGATGAACTCAAACAAGCCAACGATCATGAAGATGGCACAGGACTGGGCAATGTTTCATTCTGTCACACGTAAGGTTGCCATGAGTCAAAGCCAACTCAACAGCAACTTTAAGACTACCTACCATGGACAAATGCCACCATGGGTGAGCCAAAGGGACATGTCACAGGTCCTTAGCACATTATAAGCCTCTCTACCCCTGTCTCTCATGCCACTCATGGTATGCTTGTTATGGAAGCTCCAGGAAACTAAGAAGGTTCGAAACAATCTGGGGCCTCCATCAAATATGTTTCAGCCTCTCAGGGCTGAAGGGTTCTAAACAGGCCAGCCATCCCCCTGAACGTGACCCAAAGCTTGGTCTCCTTCTCCATGGGGGGGCGGAGGGTGGGGACAGGTGATGATAAGCACAGTGGACCAAGGGCCAAGAGAAAGGGCTCAGCCCCTGACTTGCTTGGTGACCTCAGAGCTCTCTGGGACTTAGCCCCATATCTGAAAAATGATGACATTGCATTGACAACTTCTCATTTCTAAAGACTACAAATAAGCTTCCTTGTCTAAGCTGACTCAACTACTTTCCTTCAGTCACATGCC